TTTTTTTTTTTTAGATAAATATGATGGTAGAGAGGATTAGGTTACATTGTTTGCATTTGTGAGGTAGACCCTAAGTTATAGCTGAGCCCCTTCCCCAGGAGGTGTGCTTTATACCCTTATGTTGTGCCTGTTAGGTGAGACTACCCCCAATCCTCTTCTCTCTTCTCTCCCTCTTCTCCCCACTTGAATTTAATCCTGTTTTTCTCTTGTGTGGGAATGAGAATCCTCTTCCCTCTTCTCTCCCTTTTTCCCCCACTTGAATTTAATTGTGTGTTTCTCTTTTGTTCATCTACTGGTTTCATTTAGCACTGAGTACATTGGATATGTGCTTTTCCATTCTTGTGATACTTCACTAAGTAGAATGTTCTTCAGCTCTATCCAGGTTGATACAATAGATGTAAAGTCTCCATCATTTTTATGGCTGAATAGTATTCTATAGTATACATATACTACAGCTTGTTAATCTATTCATGGGTTGATGGGCACATGGGTTGATTCCTCCTTGGTGATTGTGAATTTAGCTGCCATAAACATTCCAGTGGAAATGTCCTTATGGTAAATGTGCATTACTTTTTTACTGTGGTCAAACATAAATAACACAAAAATGATCCATTTTTAAGTATACGCACATAATTTTTAAAATTAGAAATAGTGTTTTTGTATAAATAAGCATGTGCTAAGCAGGCTTCAAAACTCACACGGACACTATCATGACAATAACAGGATAATTATTTATCTGTTTGGACAAGGATAGGAAGGGAACACAAGCCAGACAGATGAAAAGTTTCATGGGCTGGAGTGGCAAAGTTGAGTGTGGTTGCTGGTGTGTGTGTGGTCCTGAAGGCAGCTTTGATAAGCACCTCCCGGCTTGTTAGTGCTGAGGGAACAGCCCAGATTACCATGAGAAGAGGCATCGAGAAAGCAGAGGTACAAGTAGAGACGCAGGAAAAACAGACTTAGCTGGGACTAATTACTTAAAAATGGATTCAACTAACCCCAGACTCACTTCCATACAGCTTTTCAGGAATATCTTGCTTGTATATGAAGAATACCAGTGGCATCTTGCTTGTATGTATCTGGTTTGTCCTAAAGAGGCCAGGGAGGCAGGCAAGTCGAAGAAAGTGGAATTTTAAGGGCATAAGCAGGGTTAAGGGAAGAAGCAAAGCTTCAAGGTCTGGT